CCCTGCAACCAGCTGGTCCAATGCTTACGGCAGCTAACCAGACTAAAATCGCAACCTACGGCCAGAAATTACTTACTTTGAGTCTCGGACTACGGCGTAACTTCTTTTTCATTTTTACCATCGCCAATGTGCAAAAGCCCATCATCGGAATCGACTTTTTCAGCAAGTTCGATCTTGTGGTCGACCTACGTTGTGGGAAATTACGAGACGATACTACGTCTTTAAGCATTCCCTGCAAACTTGCTTCAGTCAATTCTCTCGGGCTTCGCATCCTGATTCAAAGTACTGCTCATTGCTCCGACAATTCCCGTCCCTAATTCGAGCGAGTAACGATACTTCCCACCCTAAACACGATGTACGCCATCACATCGTTACGACCGGTCCGCCAGTAACTGCTAAAGCTCGACGCTTGCGCCCTGACAAACTTCAGGCAGCTAAAAAGGAATTCCAACACATGCTTGATCTCGGCGTTGTTCGTCCTTCAAACAGCTGCTGGGCATCACCTCTCCATCTGGCGATTGGCGACCATGCGGTGACTTCCGTGCTCTCAACAATGTCACTGTTCCGGATAGGTATCCTATCCCCCATATCCACGATTTCTCACTTGGACTTGCCGGAAAGTCGATCTTTACCAAACTCGACCTAGTCAGAGCTTACCACCAGATTCCAATGGCGGAGGAAGACATCGCAAAAACCGCTGTGATCACTCCATTTGGCCTTTACGAATTTCTTCGTATGCCTTTCGTCCTCCGGAACGCAGCACAGTCTTTCCAACGCTTTATGGATCAGGTCCTCCGTGGCTTTGATTTCGTCTATGTTTACATTGACGATGTTTTTATCGCAAGTGCCACACCCGACGAGCATTTATCACACCGAATGGTTTTCGAACGCTTTGAAAGCCACGGTATAACCATCAACCCGGACAAATGCAAATTTGGTCAGCCAACGGTCGAATTTCTCGGTCACAAGATCGATGGTGAAGGTATTAAACCTCTCCCTGATAAATCTCAAGCGATCCTCGACTATCCGATGTCCCAATCTGTCCGAAACCTACGCCCATTCCTCGGTATGATCAACCACTACGGCGAATTCATCCCCAACTGTGCTGAGTTACTTTATCCGCTTACCGACCTATTGAAAGGAAACTCAAAGACGTTAACCATAACCCCAGAAGTTGAAGCAGCTTTCACGGCCGTCAAGCAGAAGTTTAGTGAGGTTATCTCTCTCCATCACTTGAACACCACTGAGGACGCTACACTTGTCCTTAAGACGGATGCTTCAAGTTCCGCTGTCGGTGCAGTTTTGCAACAGTTAGTTGATAACGAATTTCAACCGCTGTCGTTTTTCTCACGGAAGCTACAACCTGCTCAGGTCAGCTACAGCACCTTTGGTCGTGAACTGCTCGCCATGTATTTGGCTGTGAAACATTTCCGTCACCTTTTAGAAGGACGTCGTTTCATACTCTTGACAGATCACAAGCCACTGGTGTACGCTTTCCGTTCTGCCTCGGACCGTTACTCACCCCGAGAAACGCGTCATCTGGACTATCTTTCGCAGTTTTGTGTCAATGTTCGTTATATCGACGATTCTAACAACGCTGTTGCCGATGCATTGTCCCGCGCTCATATGAATCAGTTGTCGTCGACACACATCGACTTGGAGAGAATAGCGGCCGCTCAAAACGATGATCCTGAGCTTGTCCAACTTCGTTCAAACCGTTCGTTGAAGCTCACACAACTGCCCTTACTTAACTCTGACATAAGAGTTTACTGTGACCTTTCAACCGGTAAGCCTACACCCTTTGTCCCACGATCATTTTGTCAAACCATTTTTGATCATTTTCATGGTCTTTCACACCCATGTATCCGCTCCACCGTAAAGCTCATTAACGACCGCTTCTTCTGGCACAATATGCGTTCAGACATTAAACATTGGACTAAACATTGTCTTAGGTGTCAAAGCAGTAAAGTTCACCGTCACACACTCACTACTCCAGGTACATTTTCACTTCCTGACGCACGTTTTAGACACGTTCACGTAGGTATTGTTGGCCCTTTACCTCCTTCCAACAGTTTCACCCATCTTCTAACATGTGTTGACCGTTTTACCCGTTGGCCACAAGCTGTTCCTTCACGTGACACATCTACCGAATCTGTTTCCCGTGCTTTTGTCGAATCTTGGATATCTCTGTTTGGTGTTCCATCCACCATCACTACCGACAGAGGGACTCAGTTCAGTTCCACACTGTTCCGTGATCTCAGTCGTTTATTAGGCTGTACTCACCTAAGAACAACCGCGTACCACCCCGCTGCCAATGGCCTCGTCGAGCGCTTCAATCGACAATTAAAAGCTGCCATCATGGCTAGTTCATCCGACTCACGCTGATCTGAGCGTCTACCTGCGATCCTCCTTGGCATACGCAATACAATCAAAGAGGACATTGGGTGCTTCCCGGCAGAACTCGTGTTCGGGACGACCCTCAGACTACCTGGTGAGATGGTACTGAACTCTCGCACCACCGGTGAACTAGACCCCTCCTCGTACGCTGAACGCCTCAAACAGCATTTGCGATCCATTCGACCCACGTCTACGCGGCCTAACCTACGTAAACAGCAAATCCACCCCGATTTGCACAAGTGTCCGTTTGTGTTCATCCGCGTCGACGCCGTCCGAAGACCTTTAACTCCGCCCTGTGAAGGCCCGTACCAGGTCTTATCACGGAAACCCAAGTATTTCTTGTTGAATAAGAATGGATCAAAAGAATCCGTGAGCATCGGCCGACTCAAACTAGCTTACGTTGAACCTACAGTCGATAGTACTGACCCCGTTTCCTCCCCTCAGCATACACCCGCCCCTGACTCATTACCCTCTACCCAACAACACACTGACGCCCGTACACCGAGTCCTCTGTGCCCTCCGACTACACGCAGCTCCACATATACACGTTCTGGTCGTGTTTTCCTTCCACCTAAGCTTACTCAGTACGTTCCGTAGGCACTTTGTCGAGCGTTTCCTTAGTGCACGCTCTAGGGGGGGAGTACTGTAGCGATTGTAAATAATTTGCTTATATTTCACTTTCACGTATACATATTTCGCTGAAGTTGTTATACAGCTTTGTTTTAATTAACTATTTATACATGCACTTGGTTTCGAGCTCGTCTTCCGTGGTTCTACCTTGGTTGCCGCCGGATTGTTGTGATTGTGCGCGTCGCTGCCTGCTCTATTCACGATCGGACTCTACGTAAACGTACACTTCGGCATACCTCGCGATCTACGGTCGTCCGACGCTTAGGCGCATCAGGATATTTTATATGTGAGGTAAACCTAACTGACTGGGTGTTTTCCTTGCCGGTTCCTCCATAGGACATTTAAGAGTGTTTGCGTTGCTCAACACCTCTCAGCACTGCTTTCGTAAGGATTTTTCTTGCCTTTCTAACTTATCGGTGTCTCGAGAATATTGGACCGAAGCTGTCGAGCCAGCGAAGGCAGTGGACGCGGTGTTCATGGGCTGTTCCAAAGCTTTTGACTCCGTTCCACATTCGCGTATCATGTCCATGCTGCAACCCTACGATATTTCTGGACTAATCAGAAGGGTAATGAAAGTTCGTGTGCTTTCCGCCTGTCATTTCGACAATGCGTTCTCAATGGGGTCCCGCAAAGTTCAGTATTTGACCCCATTCTCTTCAGATTCTCAGTTAAGGACTTACCTGGTGTGGGGCAGTCCCATTTTTTATCTTTGCGAATGACCTAAGATTCTGGTTTACAATAAACGTACCGACCTTTCCACTGACTCTACAAATGGCTCTGGATAGACCTTGGAACTGATCCCTTTTGTGGCATTTGCCCGTGAATCTCCCGAAATGACTCTGACGCGTTATTTGCTTGGTGGCAACGAACTGCCGCGGGTGCTAATTCAAGCTCACCTGGGAGTATTTCTGTCATCCGACTATAAGTCAAGGGAACATTGGACGGCAGCTGCTCGCAGCGGATTCGGCATGTTGGGGATGATCCGCGAGTCATTCGGGTTCAGGACGACTGAAATGTTCTTTATATTGTTTTCGGATTTTGTAAGGCCGCACTTGGTATACTGTATATAGGTTTGTCCCCCATGCTTCGTTCGTGACGGGATGGCAATTGAACGCGTCCTGCGGTCTGTGATGAAAATGGTGCATGGGTTACAGAAGTTGACGTACCTTGAGAGGCTATGTTTGGCTGTTTTCCATGTATTACAGGGGACTTCGCAGCGACTTGGTCCTCAAAAATAACATCCTACTAGGTCAGCCTATTCCTAATTTAACTGAACTGTTCCACCCAACTCTAGTGCCAACCCTTTGGGATCACCCATTGAAGTTGCGCAAACCCCGATTTGACCGCGTTGGGGCAGTTTGCGATTTGCGCGTAGTGGTGGTGGCACCGACGCTGATAGAGTTTGAACATCGACTTGACGCCTTCGGTCTGTGGTTTAGAATATTCCCCTTCATGAGTTAAGTCTTTACACATCTTGTACGGCCTACTTCTTTTTACTTCGTTTTCACTTGCATCCCTATATTACGTAATTTGGTAAGCTTGTTTTTCCCCTTATTTCCCTTTCATTTTCTTTTATTCACCTGGTCGGCACAGCGGGGACTGCTAGTGCAGGGCACGGGGGCATTGTTTGGTTGATCATGTGTTATTCTTGCCCTCCTTTGACAGATCAATTCACCGAATTCCCTGTAAGCTCAACGACGATTCGAAGGTGGAATATTCGCGGGATTTTCCTACTGTTCCGGTTTCAATTGAATTTGAACTAGACGTGTTTTCCCCGCTGCGCCCCAGAAAACACTCCAATAAACCTAGATGACGGAACCGCAGAATGAGTCGTACGATGAAGTAGCGCAACGTTTCTTGGAAGGTCTCAAGAATCATTAGGATTTAACCGTTGTTTGCAGTATAAGCAATTTCACAACGCAGCAATAAAGATGCAGCGACAAGCGAAGTATTGTTATGAACTCAGACTGGCCCATAATGTAAAAACAAAACCAAAGATGTATTATAGTTATGTTCAGTCCAAGCCTTCTTTAAGGCAAGGAGTTGGTGATTTACTGATCACAAAGGATGTGGCCAAAGCAACGATGTTCCTGCGCGTTTTTCAACAAGTGCATCGTACGGACAATGGGCTTTCTATACCATCCGTTTTGTCAAAATACCAGTACGATGCTGGATACTCCTTTTACTGCAGTGGAGGTCTATGTGGTATTGAAAAATGAAGTTTGTTTGAAAAAATGTCATGGTCAGTCATGTCAGTCTACCAGGTGTAGGGTGGCGCAAGGCTCGAGGTGGACAGAAGTTGACTTGGTAGCGGGAAATGAAGTCACTGACGACCAAACTGGATGCCGTTGGTCCGTCTCGCCTTGTGCTTGGCTCGAGTGTTTACAGGACATGGCTCGCAGTAGACACCAGTTGCGCGTCTGCTGCCGTCTCCTAATTGGATTGCCTGTTTAAAGTGTGTTTGCTGCTGAGTTATCTGCGAGGTAATGGCTGATTATGACGCGGGGCAGTGAAAGCTGCAAGGAAGCCATCTCGCCGATGCCGCCTTATTTTTGCACGATAGCCAGCTGCTTGTGACGATATGTTGTCTGCATGTTGTCTGAATGTTAGGGCATTATGCTTTTCAGGTAAGTCCCTCTTCTTTCCCTCTTCTTATTTATTTCATAGGTCCTCATGGTTGTATGGCAGCGAAGCATCGGTTCAAATGACTGCTGTACTGTTGTTGTTGATGATGATGATGATGATGGTGGGGTACTGGCTGGCTTAGACCCACAAAACTCGGCTGAACCTGATGATGTGCATCCTGCCGTTGTCAAACCGCTGGCTGACATACTCCAATACCCCGTGTTGTAGATTTTCAATATGTCACTACGCGAAGGAAATTGCTTGACGAAAGGCGATCTCACTACTTAGCGTTATATAATTTTGCATACCAAATTTTTTTGCTGCGTAGTAGCCGGCTGGTAGTTTACCGGAACGATGCCCATCCGTTACCGGTAACTCATCTGGCTTGCATCCGTTGCATTTGCCTCACATTTTTTATGCATTGCGGCACAGTAGCTGAGGTGTTTCCCACCTCTAGTGAACATGTATAATGATGCTGAATGATGCACTACGTGATGGCTGGCTCCCACAGGACTGGAAGGAGGCAGCTGTTGTAGCTATACATAAAGGAGGACCCGAAACCCTACCCGTCAATTACAGGCCCGTAAGTCTAACCAGCGTTTTACTCATATGCTTTCAAAAGCTTATTCGAAAACGAATATGTGGGCACTTAGGTGATCACAACTTAATTGGGTCCAAGCGGCATGGTTTTATTAAGAAAAAGTCGTGTCTCGCTTGTCTTTTATTTTTTTAGATGAAAAAATGAGCTGTATTGATGATGGAATCTCAGTTGAAGTATGTTACTTCTACTTTAGCAAAGCCTTCTGCTCTGTTATCCACCGATTCTTACTTGCGAAACTGGAATGGTTTGACTTGTATCCTCAGCTTTTGACTTTGCAGAGTTTCTTTGCGGTAGAATATTTCGCGTTATGATCAACGAAGCTAGATCAAGAATCGGCACTCCTTACAGCGGTGTACCCCAGGGTCCCGTTTTAGGACCATTATTGTTCCTTATGTTTATCATTGACTTCGCTCCTCTTCTCCATTACCCCTGTCATATTTTTGCTGATGATCTGAAGATCGTCTGCAGGGATAATCGAGACATATTGTCCAATGACTTTCGCAACGTAGTGGTTTGGTCGGTTAAATGGGATTTGCCTTTAAACGCCAGAAAATGTCAATTACTGACTTCTCGAAATAAAGGGATTACGATGCTAGCATTTGTCCGGCCTCTAGATCTGCAACGTGCAGATGAAGCACGACACTTAGGCATCCTTGTTGCGAACGATTCCAAACTTTAGCGCAATGTAATCATGGTGTTAACAGTGCGCGGAATGAATTGTTTCGCCTCAAAAGATTTTTCTACAGCACTAGAGCTGTTTTTCTTCTCTTGTACGGAGCGGCGTAAGACCTTATTTAGAGTACTGTGTACAGGCTTGGGCCCCCACTACAAGAACTGGCTACTAGGACGATTGAGAGTCTAGGCGACAAGCTATACGCTGAACGCCTAAGAAGCTTAGATCTGTATTCAATGGAACGGCGCAGACTAAGAGAGGATCTAATAGAAACGTTTAAAACCATGAAGGGTTTTAGTAATATCCAGTATACTGAACTGTTTGAGCTAGCTGAGTCAGATCATCTGCAAAGACACCAACTGAAGCTCAAGCACCAAAGATCTAGGCTGGATATCAGGGCGAAATTCTTTGTGAATCATGTAATCAATAGCTGGAATAAGCTAAGTATTAATAGAGGCCTTTACATAGGTGTTGGTCTGAACTTTTTCCGGAATTGTTGTACTTTTATTGTGTTTTGTCGTTGTAACCTCGTATTGCATGACAATACAGTGAGCGCTTTTGTGTTTGATTCACTCTCTTGCAGAACCCGCCGAGGTTAATCAGAATTCGAAGTACTGTGGGACCTTGTTCGCTTACTGGTACAAGAAACAGGAGGCTCGTTAGGCGGTGGCCTGTACCGTCCTTGGAACCTGACCTGAACTTAACCCACAGGGCAGCTCCAGGTCATGTCAACAAGACTTGCATTGCGCGTGGTTGTGCGCGGTCTTCGTACGTCATTTTTCGCCATTTATGGTTGTAGTCTTATCATTTAAACTGTTGCTTATTATTAGGTAGTTTTAATATAGGAATCTCGCGTTTCCTTTTTTCCTTATGTGCAGTGCGTACTGCAAGCTGAACTTTCAGCTTGTTTAACGAAACCGCGGTTTGGTTTCATATATGAAGGCGCATTTCCAGTTCTAAGTACGTGCAATCAATGATGAAAATCGCCTGTCAAAATGTAGAAGAATGCCAACACATCCTGAGACGGACCCCGCGCCCTCGGGGAGAAAGACCTCTCCCCTTAGGACGGAGTCCGAATGAGGCAAACTGTCTGCGATTTACCAACCCGACGAGAAAATAGAGAAACACTTCTACACATTTAGGATTTTTGCGTAGTAAGAAAAACTTGCAGAGTTCGATAGAGACCGAACCTCAAACATAAAGAACGTATTACAAGTACTGCATGTCACCAATGGAGACGCTGTCCTGTGTGCGATTTGGACAATTGTCGGTGCTTGTGTAAATGGAACAACCGATTCACAGTGAACCCAAAGATCGAGGATGCGAGCTAGGGAATGCAGTACTATTTATTATTATTATTATTTTTTTATTATTATTTTTAATATTATTATTATTATTTACGTATCCTTGTGCGTCGAAAATCTCTGCTGAGCGGGTAGTTCATAGCGTTTCGATGTTCGCACTGCTGCAGTTTATAAAGCCTAGCTGTGATGATTTTGCGCGTTCGCAAGATACATTTCCTGAGCTCGGATAGATGGTAGTGAGGACTTTAAACGTCCGCTTGTCTTAATATGATGTCCTAGCATTACCACGTTTAACAATGTAGAATCATTTCGACAAGCCCCATAAAAATTGAAGTGACGGAAAATTACACACCCAAGTCGCATTGAGAGATATATGTGCCGTACATTATCAGGCTGTTTGGCGGTATTTCACACTTGTACGACAGGCAACGACATTTTTTACAAATGGCACTGGCACTCAAGCGACGATCAATTATTGTGACGCTAGATCATCTTGTCCATGGTATTGGCTCAGTGTAACACTTAGTCATGTGGACCACTCCGGCTGATGAGTTACTTTCTATCAGACAATAGGGCAGACACAGCCCCTTACGCCAAATGCGATAACATCTATATATCCAAGCCAACTATATCCCATTCGTTTATGAATGCTATTGGGTCAAAGGATGGATCATCCAAACGGTTAAAACGGTATCCAAGTCCTGCTGGACAGCTTTTCGTACCTTTCGATCAAGTAAATTTAATTGGGTTTTCTGTAGCAAAAATTGACTTAAAACCTAAAGTACAGTTTCCGAACCGGTTGATGTGGTTTCTGAATTTGGAAGACCAATTTCCAATCGGTTAACGCAGTAAAGCGCCAGTACACTCTGATACCGCGGACAAACAGAGGCGGTTTTGATTGGACAAGCGATTCATTCGGTCAGGTTCAATGACGACATCTTGTTTAGCAATGGACGCGTTTGCGAACTCCCATCTGCGCATGTAGCAGTTACTCACGCTCTTGGAAAAGGCTGACATGACGTGCTCAGTAATTTCCTGTTCCCTACTATTCAGCCATCCACGCTGATATCCCATACTGGGATATATCTGGTGGTTACTCCATCCGGCAAACTCATTTGGTCCTACAGTGCACTTTCCAAACATCCTGGTTTTTCGAAATAAAGAAACCCTATCTACATTATCTCAGGCTGATTATGAACGAGTAAGGCGCGGCGCATACCAACACGAAGAAGACCATACGCTGAACATATCACTCGGAAATGGCTCACTGGAAGCAGGTCCCGCGTCATTCCCTTGTGCTAGACATCAGATATCGCTTCGACGCTCGTACGTGCACACATGTGTGGAATAGACTTGGAATACCCACGCGTCCCTACGCGCTCCCAGGGACATGTGCCATACAACCAGATAAGTAAACAAACAGGCCAGCAACGTGATCAACAATTACGAAAATGTACATGGATATGTCGAATAGCATTACGATATCCCACAACGCTGCTGATATCGCTGGTGGCCGCTACGGCAATACGTTCAAGTAACTACAGCCTCCATTCCATCTGCGTCATGCGTTTCTAGGGATCTCTGACCAGAAGTTCTTCGTAGTGCAGTCTCATCTTACTCTTCACTCTGGCCTCCACCACCTGCCAAATATTCTCGATCGGGTCGAGGAACGGGGAGTATGGGCTCAATCTTAGAATGGTTACTCCCTCTTCTCTATCTACTGACGACAGTTCTTCCAGTCGTGTGCCATGACGAATTATCACACACCACGACAACCTGCCACGACCCCATCTCCCACTTCAGATTGCCTAGATAGATTCTTAACCATTCGAAAAATAGGGGACCAGTGAATGAGCTTCTCTGTGTGATCATCGACACTATCCCTTCCATTGTGAGTGCACCGATCAAATGCAAATTGAGGCCTCTACTGTTGGCAACTTTGCAACAGACCTTCACTCCTCTGGGCGCCCGACCACGAGTACGTTTGCAGAAAGCGTTAAAGTTCACTTTATCAATCCAAATGAATAACTTGCCATCTCTCACAACTTGGAGAAACTGCTAAACGAATTCCCTGCTTATCCCTTTGCTTCGCTCATTGTTCGTTCCTTCGGGAACCTGATGGATGTTCTTTATAGCAATCAAACGACTATTCAGGTGCCGTGCGATTGTCGACTTTGAGATGTTCTAGTCCATTTCTGCCCGCATTTCCCGTAGTGTAACATTGAGTCGTTTGCGACAGAATCCG